TGCAATAGGAATGTACTTGAGAGACTCCTTCAAAATGATGTAGACATAGCCATGCATTTGAGGACTATTGGCGTAACCAATCCACCACAGATACAGCCAGTCTGTGTAGATCTGCGCGCTCTTGTTAGCTAATCCTGACAACATCGTAACAGAGAGACAAGACGTACCTGATGATTCGCAATCATCACCATACGCTCTGGGAAGGAAAACTCAACCCTGCCATCCCTTGTCTTCTTGATCTGGCCGGCCACAGACGCATCCCCGCTTATGCGTATCGTGGTAGGACCCCACCAGTGTGTCGAAGTTGTAATCAACAGCCCGAAGGACTGTTTCGTTAGAGCCATGTAGGAGTAGTAGAGGTCGCGGTCGACATAGTAAAGCGGCGCCCCGATCAGTTGCGTGAGATTGATACTACAAATAACATGGTCAACTACGATGTCTAGGAATATGAACAGTGTAATGGAACCTACGCAAGACAGCCTGCCATGAAGTAGATGAAGAAGGAAAATCCTCTCAGAATCTGGACCACTTTTCCATGTTTCTCTTTCCCAGATGGATGAACTGGAGCAACGGCCGGAGCCGCCGCTTTGGTAGTAACCGTCATAGCTTGATTTCGCAACGGCGGGAGAATAACGACGGCGTGGTGGGCTCGTAGAGGTGTGCGACGTGCAGCGCGGAGCCGGGAGGGGTTGGTGGATGATAGAAGGGCTTTGCTGGAGCTCTTGTCGAGCCCTGTGTGCGAAGCAGAAACAAAGAGGATAAGCACAAGGTTGAAGGCAAGGCGGGCAGCTGATAAGCGATAGGCGGACGGTGTGGAAGGTCGAAGCCACCGTGTTGGGGTAATCGTAGCCCGCGAGGCGCGGACGGATGCAGTGCAGAGTGCGGCGTGAAGGTTCCCCGAAACCCCGACCCAACTGGCAGGTCTTATACCTGTCAACAACCGAACTCTGAAGACATCGTCGAGGGGCCGAGGTGTTCAAGTCGAACAGACGGGGTCCCCCGTCTAGAATGAAACATCGCAGCTCCGTTCAGGGTACCTATCCGAGGCTGCCGTAGGTGTCGTCATGTCCATGTGCACATGCGCATGCCACCTCGTCTATGACTCTGAATTCCGTCTGGCACTTCAGCCAGGCTCCAGCAGTTTGGATGCAGCCGCCCCACCAATCCACCACCAGCAAGCTGGGGTGGCCTGCGTCTGGAAGATCTGTAAATGCCGGTTCCGACCCAACCAGACGGAAGCTTGGTTGGAGCTAGGACCAACGGTCAAGCTGCCAGGTGGGGTTACCGGCAATCCTTGTTATCGGGCATTATCTTATCGATATAGACGGATATGTCATCGCCAATTGCTTCCTAGAGACAGAAGACGCTGCTGTCCCTGAGCGCATACCCAAGGCTGGAAGACGACACTGCAACCCGAGGACAGGCCTTTGATCAATACACTGCCTGGAAACACAAATTCGAGAGACACCACGTAACGACAGCGCAGCTGGTGAGCCGGCCAGCCGAATATGTCACCATGCCGAGGCCGTGTTTCTCTGCTCGGGCTTTTGCCTTGCTGAACGCACCTAGCTATACAGTCAAGAACACCAGATGTTCACCCGCTGACCAGCCATGGCGAAACTTTTCTCTGTCAGCAAGTCGGAAACAGATTCTCGACGCTGCCACCTTGAACAACCGCATTGTCCCCCATTACCAACAAACCAAGACGGCCTCGCTGCTCGCCCTGCACTGGCCCGAACCACCACGCAACATCCTCCTCATGCCCAAGCTTCACGCACCACACGTCACAGTATCGGCCATTGAATTCGCTAAGCACATTCACAATAACTATCCCGGGCTCAACCTCGTCTTCGAGAGTCATATTGCCAAAACCATACACCAGGACTTGCCATTCCCAATCTATTCGGCCGCTCCTGCTGATGCCACAGCATTATATGCCGACAAGATCGATCTCGTCACCACTATGGGCGGTGACGGTACCATCCTACGCGCCGCTAGTCTCTTCTCTAGTCATTTTAGTGTGCCGCCAATCCTGGCCTTCAGCATGGGCACCCTCGGGTTTCTCGGCGAATGGAAATTCGACGAATATAAAAGGGCTTTCAGAGAATGCTATATGAGCGGCTGCAGCGTCAGTACCGAGGACCTCCAGGGCCCACATACCCGGACAGCTACCACCACGGCCATTGACGGCCTCCCAGACCCAGACGGCTGGGATGGGGTGCGAGGGAACGGAAAATGCATGGGCCTGAACCGCACGTCCAAGATCCTCCTTCGGAACCGATTACGAGTTGGCATATACGACAGTGAAGGCCGCAACATCAACGAACACATACTTCCCACATCCACAGCTGAGCCCGCTCTTGGCCTCGAGGGAGAGCCTGTGTTTACACCTCAATCTTCGACCCCCAACTCAGCCGGAGGGAGAGGTGGTACCTCGCCCTACTTACACGCCATCAACGAAGTCTCCATCGACCGCGGATCGCATCCTCATCTCGCCATCATCGATATCTTTGTCAATGGCCATTTCCTCACCGAGGCTGTAGCGGACGGTATTCTCATCAGCACCCCTACCGGATCAACAGCGTATTCTCTTTCCGCTGGCGGGTCTATTGTTCACCCGCTCGTCAAATCCCTCCTCATCACACCTATCAGCCCCCGCAGTTTGAGTTTCCGTCCACTGGTTCTTCCATTGCATACCAAAGTGGTGTTGAGACTCAGCAAGCGGAACCGTGGCAGAGAGTTGCCGGTCTCGATTGATGGCAAACGGCGCCTAGGGGTGACGATTGGCATGGAAGTTCGGGTGGAAGGGGAGAAACTAGAGAGGACTGAGGATGGGTGGAAGGGGGGTGTGCCATGCGTGATCAGGGCTTCCTCAAAGAGCGACTCGGAAGGGTTTGGTGAGGACGATGACTCGTGGGTTGGAGGCTTGAATGGGCTGTTGAAGTTCAACTATCCTTTCGGAGCGGGTCCCTAGTAGCATCTTGGACGGGTGTGAATATTTTATCGGCTGTACAGATGTACATGAGCATGAAGAGATCGATTGTACGAGTGTTGGATGGATGTCGTGTGGATTTGTACAACAAAAGCAGGGCATGTTAAACGGATGGGTTCGGGGACGGTGGCATAACTGTATTGCGTTGGGCGCTTTGCATTGGTTGTTTCTTGGTTACCTGCATTTACGGGTCTACATGGCATCTGATATGAACATTTTTGATACCCTACAATGATAATTTCTCTCCTGTTACCTAGCACATTCCGTTGCTGTTTGGTCGGCCATTCCATACTGCGCGTGGACATGGAATCTAGACACAGCCATTCAACGCTTTGTGCGTGGTTCTGACCGATGTCGTGTGCTCTCATCACATCATCTACCGTAACTTCGTTGGAGTGGGACCCCTGATGATGGAAAAAGTAAAAAGAAGAAGATGGGCAGAAGGCAAAAATATATCGTCGCCTGCAGGATTCGAACCTACGCTCCCGAGGGAACGCCCTTCCAGCTGGGTGTGGATAGAATCCATACTTTAGCAGGGGCGCGCGTTAACCACTCCGCCAAAGCGACCTGTTTCTTGTTGAAGAATGAGTCAAACTTTGGGCTTTTGACTATGGTCCACTAGGAGAGTGGACACCGCTTCAACGTGGCTGCTCGCGAGTTGGTGGTTAATGGAGGGCCAACCGAAGCGATTGGCGGGCACTACATCTCTCGACAAACATAACACGGCATTGGCTTCAGGGGATGAATGTTCACACAACCCTTTGTTGCCGCAGACGACAGCGACCTGTCCCGGATTATCGCTCTTCGGGCCCGGAGACTCGGTCCATGACTCAAGGTTTAGTGCGAGGCCGTTGGGTGAGGCGTACGGCACAGCACCAAAAGGTTGGAGTGTCGTTGCGTTGGTCATCGCCGGCCGAATTTTACCTCCGTGCATCTCCGGGCTACTCCGGCAGGGGGGAGTCCACGACTTATAAGATGCATCACCGCTTTCACAAACGATTGACAAACGAGCCTCACATGTCCACAATCACTCCAAAACAAGCTATTATCAAATAAACAAACCTAAACGACCAAAAAAATGACCCCTACAATCACTGTCTACCGCAACTTCCCCTCCACCCCCAACCATACCTGGTCCCCCTTCGTCAACAAACTCGAGACACGCCTCCGGCTCTCTTCCCTCCCTTACACCACTGCCTCTGGCTCCCTATCCCACTCCCCCAACAGCAAAATCCCCTACATCTCCTACCAGCCCTCCCCAACATCCCCTCCCGAACTCCTGAGCGACTCAACTCTCATCACCCGCCGCCTCATCTCCGACAATCTCCTCCCCGACCTCAACTCCTCCCTCTCCCCAGCAGAAAAAGCTCTTGACCTCTCCATCCGCGCGCTGGTAGAAGATAAACTCCAGTTCTTCAACACCCGTGAGCAATGGGTAGACAACTACCTCCCCATGCGCGAGGGGGTTCTCGGGTCGGGGGGAGCGGGTCTGCCGTGGGTGATGCAATGGGTGATAGGGGGTAAAATCTACAGGGATATCATCCGGACGTTGTACGGGCAGGGGACGGGGAGGTATGCTTCTCGGGAAGTGGCAATGTTGAAAGAGGAGGTGTGGGAGAGTATAAACGCTTTGCTCCTCGAGGGGAAGACCAAGACCCTCGCGAGGAGGGAGGGAGAGAGTGGCGAGCCATTTTGGATTCTCGGAGGCGAGGGGCCTACCGAGGCGGATTGCACTGTTTATGGGATGATTGTGGGGAGGTTGATGTGCAGCACGTAAGTTTCTTTCTTCAGGTGAAATGGTGGATGATGGCTGACGATCAAGATGCAGTGCTGCCCCTGAGACCGGAACACTGGTGCGGAGTTATCCTGTAGTGGTGGATTATGCGAGGAGGATTCATGCCAAGTATTTCAGTGATTATGATCTTTGGAAGGAGGAAATCTAGGGGTCAAAAATGTATGGTATGAAGGAGAGGGAAAAGAAAGACAAGAAATAAAAACAAAATATAGATGCCCAATAACAGGATTGAACTGTTGACCTTCGCATGACTTGATATTACCCTTGCGGGAATATTAGTACGACGCTCTAACCAGCTGAGCTAATCGGGCTACTGATTTGAGATGTCAAGTTGACATAGCAAAAATTGCGTACATGAGAGACCTTGCATCGATTCATTTCTTGTGCCAGCGATGGGGCGAGCACCTTGCCTTGATGCTGACCACGTTGAGTGGACTCACAGACAGGCCATACCTCACTGGTCTTGCTTTAACCTTATAGGTCAACATCAAGAGCAATGATATTGGCCGACACGAATCCCGTCACAAAAAGCCTTGCCTTGTCCTTTCCAAGAGAAACAAGAATAGCAGCACTGGCGGTCCTAATCCTGCTGCTATTATCCTCAAAGATGATCCTTGTGTCCCATTCTTGTGCCTTCTTTCCAGGCACTGGCTTCGTGTAGAAAACAATCACCGGGTCTTTGCCGGCTGGGTCTCTGGAGGTCTGGGCAAGAGCAACGGCTTTTGAGATACCCGGCAACAGAAAACCGCTGCGATCATCGGACTGGCTTGTGGCGAGGGGATCCTTGAAGTAGCTCGGGTTATCAACCACAGAGTCCACCTCCAGCGTATCCAAAATCGTGATGTTGTAGTTTGAGCTGCCCTTGGGTGACAGCTGGGCGATATGAAGGGTACCGCTGGTCGCTTGCCCAATCAAGATCTCGTCTTCAGACCGGCCATGACCAAGACCATTGTTGTTGTGCACTCCACTGAGGGCAATGGTGGCTGTCAAACCAGCATCTGAAGTCTCGACTGGGCTCAGCGAATCAAGCTTGATATGCACAGTGTCTGTCCATTTGGCTCCGTAGTAGACATCCTCCAGCATGCGCATAATGCCATGGCCAGTGTAGTAGTGGTCGTTGGTAACGTAGACAGAGGTTGGGCTTTCGCCGTAAACATCATTTGGCGTTCGGATCAACGGGTGCCAGATGGATCGAATGTGCCTGACAGAGTCTGTGCCAATGGTGTGGTGGAAGAGTTCAATCTGCGATCTTGCTTTTGCTTCCTCTCCTTCCGGAGTAGGGGTGGGGTCAGGGAGGTGATTGACAGCGAAAATGTAAACGGCTTGGCCGCGGGGCAACTCAGGGTCGTCGACAATGTCAATACCATGGGTAATGAAGGCATTGTCAAAGTTCTCGAATTTGAGTCGTCGTGATTCAAGGCCCTACAGAGCTTGGTCAGTTGAGCCATGGTAATAACTGGCATGGAAACTTACCTTGGGATCAATGACATGGATAGAACCTGTGCTTTTCGCAGCCACTGCTGGGTTCTCCAAGTTCCCTACTGGGGGGAACCACTGGAAGCGAGTTGCCGCATCGTCTTCGCAGGCTGTGAACAGCAGACCACTTGGAATGTGGTGGTGAAGATCTTCGCAATGGGTTGTGTCGGGGATTGAGGTGACTTGTTGTGTGGTGCCAACGTAACCTTCAGGGTAGCTGCGGAAAACGCCCAAGACTGTCACAGCTCGTTGAATCAGGGGAACAAGGGTGTAGAGTTGATAGGCGAACAGAGCCGCGATGATAGAGTATACCGCCGACCTCATGATGCCGGATTTTCGATAGAATTGGATCCGGCGAAAACTCAGAACTTTTCCATCTCATCTCAAGAAGTTATGATGTTGGGCACATCCCAACCCCTAACGTCACTCTGCTGCCTCGGCAACATCTTGACGCGGGGTAACTCAACGGTCTTTGTCGGTGACTTGCAGTCATCGGGGAACCATATCCGGATCCTGCAGGACCAGCATAGATCGCTATTGTCTAGTTATGAATGGGTGGCTCGGAATGGAGTCAACAAACGGAACCCAATCGTCGCACCTGGGGCCGTGGAGACAAGTCCACGTCCTCCTGCGGGGTGGTGGAACAAGAGACTGACTTCAGTCTGTAGTGTATGGTTGGACTTTCCGTAGGTACATTTGCGGCTTCGAGCACACGGCGTAATAAGTAACACCGTACACAAAGTGTACGACTGTTGCAATCCTCGATATTTGGAAAACCTTGAAGATGTCGTTGTATTGACCTGTCGTTCAAGGGCAATTGTGGTGGGCCCAAACGACCCCTGCTCTTCACCCCACCTTCCCGGGAAGCTGAGGCTTGGCATTTCACCCCGCACCATGTTTGACGACCGCTCACCACAATTTCACGCTGACACCTTGAGAAGATACAATGCACCTTGTCGCTCGCTCCTCGGAATCGCCGTCGAATCACTTCTTGGCTGACTTTGGATCTTCGCACTCCATGTCGGACCAAATCCCCGTCACCGAGGTCCGCACAGGGACGTCCCCATCCCCCCATGACCAGCTGCAGTCGTCCTTGTTTGGCAAGCTGCCTGCTGAGTTGCGTGCTGCCATATATACCGAGATCTTTGGCGGTCAGCGCATCCATCTCAAGTTCACCACGCACCCAATCCGCGCTGATAGGGTAGGTCTGAGAAAGCGTTGGCGCCATGCCATTTGTGAGCAGTCACCCACAGTGTCTTTCAGAGAGGTTACATCACGGCAGCACCACTGCTTCCTGGCCAGTCGTCGGCGAGTGCTGGATATCAACTTGCTCTTCACTTGCCAGCGAGCGTAAGTGTAGTCAATTTAAGAACACAGACCAGGTAAGCTAAACTAGTTGTAGACTCGAAGAAGGGATTCCCATTCTGTACCAATCCAATATCTTCCACATTGTCAATGCTGGTACCGAAAGGCTGCCTTCAGACGATCTCCGGAGCCTGCAAGTGAAGATACCCAAGAATTGGGGTCTCATCAGATCCTTGGAGTTCAAATGGGAGGTGAATATCTTCGATCGGAATCACCCCAGCTTTGTTCCGCATCATTGGGGCCGGGATGGGTATGAAGCCTTCTGGGATGGTCTCGCCGATATGCCGTCGCTGTCTCAGCTGCGCATCTCCATTATCATGCCTCAGATTCTCATGCTCACGTCACCTTCCGAGCTTCAAAAGCTCTACTTTGAGCCCATAAAACGCCTAAAGCATTTGCGAAGGTGCGAGGTGATCCTGCCGATATCGTACAGCTCGCATTTCGGTATGAGCCCCGAGGACCAACGCCTTCCTATCGGTGGGGATGGAGACTACCGTATCAGCTGGGCTACTGTCGACGATGGGCGCCCACTGGCTGCTGAGGCCACCACATCTGCGTCCCGTCAACTCTCGCGGGCTCTTGCAACCCCCTCACAGCCTGGTGACCCATGACGGATCTCCGGCGTATCTGAACGGAAACTACCGAGACCACCCACACCACCACATGCATTGGAATTCCCTGGTTGACACTTTATAGTCCTATCAGCACCTGCGCAGCAAGCCATGATGCATCCATTAGGACCTAATGTGCATTCTCGGTGGCTCAGCCGCAGCGCACACAGTCTCGATGGAAAATGTGCCGCAAAAAGCCACTCATCACCTTCTTTACACGGTTTGGCCAAGAAATACCTCGGTGCCCACTTCTTGTCCAAACCAGAAGACCCTGAATTTGGTATGGAGAATTAGAGCACTAATGAACTATCGAGCTGATGTCAGAGCACAATGATAGGCATACTAGAAACCATGTAGCTGTGACCCTACTCTGATCCTACTCTGTCTTACAGTATGATTCTCGGTGGTCGCGGTGGTGCTCAGCCTTATTGCTGGCCGATGTAACCTCAGCTCTCGGGCACCGCTGAATAGGGCAAGCTCTTACGCCACGCCGCTGAGAAGACCAAGCGAACAATTTTCTGCAACTCTCCAGCTTTGTTATTACTGGCTGAAGATACGTATGGACCCCGAGTCCCTGCAGAATGTGGAAACCTTCAGCCCAGCCTCATTGGCCTGGGCTGTGCCCATGACAGCGGCAGCTTTGGTGCTGGCTGCACAGTATCATCGGGGCATTCAGAATGGTTAGCTGAGACAAACCGTGACTGGACTCTCTAGAAGACATGCCCCGTCCTTCCATAAATACTTCGCCGCGGCCATGGCAGGCTCGTCGGCCTCACTCATCTCGGTACTCTTCGCTCGCCTCAGCTGTCAGTCAAGATGTCACGGAACTTGGCAGAGAACATCCCCTTGGTGAACAGGCTCTTCGCCTTACTCGACAGCTTCTGGCAACAACAGCTGGACCCATCCCTTCCTACACCACCGCCACAGATCAGTGCCATCCGCCCTACCCAACAGTCGATTCTCAAACATCTTTCGGAGAGAGAGTACTCGAAACAATTGGCACCAAAGTCTGTGAAAGATGCCTCATTGCTGTCGTTCGATCCGGGTGTCTTTGACAATGAGCTCCTACGGTTAAAGCTTTACTCAACCATTGATCCCAAGGACCCATCTCTAGCCAAGGAGCCCGAGGGTGATATCGTGGAGGGAACCTACATGGGAACGCAGGTTGCATTGACCCAAGCATATGCCAAAATTGAGCAGACGTGAGTAAAACTATGCGAGACTTGGGGTGGTAGATGTACTGACGGGGTCCAGATTTGCCGCCTTATTTGATGTCCTAGGCATTGAACCGACACTGCCTCGGTATATCCCCCTCGAGGAGCAGAGAAAGATCTATAAATACTCCGCCTACCCAAAGAACGCGGATGGAACGCCTGCACAATATCCTCCTCACCTTCAAACTATTCCTCCGGAGCACGAATACACACCTTTCGGCATCTTCAATGCAATTGGTCTGATTGAGACACAGGTTATTCTCAAGAAGATCACGCCCACCGAGGACGGCATTGTCGGTAAGACGAAGGAATGGCTGCTTGAAAGGGCCAGGGCGGCCGCATTTGGTGGTGAGCCCGAAAAGGGAATCAAGATTCAAGACGTTGTCGACTACAACAAGTACCACCGCAAGTTCGGCACCGACATTAACAACGGCGGAAACATCGGCCTGTTAGATGACTGGTACAGTGACCGCCGGTTTGCTGATCAGCAGTTCACCGGTGTCAACCCTACCACCATTACCAAAGCTTCGCCAGCTTGGATTTCAGACTTCACAAAGGCTGCGAAGGACAGCGGATACAGCAAATGGCTAGACTTCCTGGCCAAGGCTGACAAGTCTTCCCTTTTCGTGCAGGATGGCAGTTACT